GTGGCCAGCTAACCCAGGTCTTTTTGTGGAGACTCCATCTCTACAAAAAACTTAAAAATTAACCTAGTGTGGTGGCATGCGCCTGTAGTACCAGCTACTCAGGTAACTGAGTCAGGAGGCTCACTTGAGCCCAGGAGACCAAAGCTGCAGTGAACTATGATCGCGCCACTGCACTCCAGCCTGGGTGACAGACCAAGACCCTATCTCCTAAAAAAAAAAAAAAATAGTCATAATGAAAAAATAACAAATGGGTGCAGGATGAGGGACAACCCCACCTTGTGTGAAACTGTCCCACACGTTGCAAAGTGCCTCATGTTCCCAGCCCCTCACCACTAAATGCCAGCGGTGACCCCTTGTCGCAACCACAAGGCATGCCCTAAAAACGGGAGTGTCGCACAAGAACAACAGCAGAGTGAAGAGAGAGGATGGAGCAATGGCAAGAAGAGCTGGAGCCAGCCAAAGTGCTAAGCCAGGGGCTGAGAAAGGCTGGCGTGGCTAAATTAAAGCACATGTCACTCTACGCATCTGCTGGTGACTCTGTAATTAATACAAAAATAATTACATCTCTTCGCCTGGCTGTCCCTCACAAACTACTTAATGAATGCTGCCAAGAACTTTTTAGGATATGTAATTATTTTTTTTATTTATTTCTGTTTTATTTTTGTAGTAGTAGCTCAACATACTAGGAAAAAAAAGCAGCAGCAAAGCCCAGCCTCAACCACCATTTGAGAGGCAACTGAGAGCATCTGCTTTCTTTTTTTCTCAATCCGGTCTATGCAATTCATTATGAACAGTGGAAAATAATAACAACAGTTTTTTTATTCCCCTTCCCTTCATTTTTCAATTTTAATTATCTGCCAGGATCTCCTCTTTAGGCACAGAGAGAAACAAGGTTTTTACTTTTCTTTTAATATGAGAAATAATTTGGCCAGGCACGGTGGCTCACACTTGTAATCCCAGCACTTGGGGAGGTTGAGATGGGCGGATTGCTTGAGTTCAGGAGTTCGAGACCAGGCTGGACAACATGTCAAAACCCTGTCTATTGAAAAAAAAATACAAAAGAATTAGCCAAGTATGCTGTTGCACACCTATAGTCCCAGCTTTTCAGGAGGCTGAGGTGGGAGGATGGATTGAGCCCAGGAGGTTGAGGCTGCATGAACTGTGATTGCACCACTGCACTCTAGCCTGGGTGACAGAACAAGACCCTGTCCCCCACCTCCCCCAACACCAAACAAGACAAAGCAGAACACATTTTTAATTAAAAAATTAAAAAACAAAAAGAATCTGTCGTGAAGGTATTTTTCAGCAAACACCACTCAGGTCTATTTGTGAGTCTTATATAGGGAAGAAGAGACTTATAAAATAAACCTGGCAAGTACTGGGTTAAGTAAAAATACACTATGGTTTGGTTTGCTTTTAATTGCAGGACTTCTCAGAGTCTTTAATATGTTAATGTGTGTTGTGAAATTCCACGAAAGGAATTACAATAAAGTCATCATTTTCTTTCTTCTTGCTTTCATTCCCAGAAAAAACTTTGCCCTAAGAGAAACCCAGCTAGAAAAGTCTGGGTGTTGAACTAATCTGGAGCCACTTCAAAGAAGTGATCATAAAAATACAAATTTCCATGAAATTGGTATCACATTAATATCATGGTCAAAGAGGAGACAATGTCAGCCTCTGGTAGACCTGGTGTGAAACGGCACCCTTCAGCCAGGACCTCACTTATGTGTCGCAGTATAATACCATTGCAATTTCCAAAAGTCCACCAATTTCTGGCCTCCACTTTTTCTTTGACCCATCTCTCTTCTTCCAACCACATGATCATCCTCCTTCAAGCTTCTAGACCTGCTAGAGGGTCCCAACCCATTCAAAACAAGGACTGCCAGGGACCCTTTTTCTCTCAAGTGCACATCTAACGTCAAAGGGAAATGGTTCTCTCCACTGATGGTGATCAAGGCGTTCACCTGTAATCTAGGTAGGGTAGTGCATGTCATGAGCTTAGAAGCTTCAGAGTGGGAAGGGCTAAATTTAAAGACATCCTCTGCTTTTTATAGGCTGTGAACCCTAGAACAAGTGACTTACTTTTTTATCTCTGTCTCTCTCTCTCTCTCCCTTTATTTATTTGTTTGTTTGTTTGTTTTTGAGACAGAGTCTCACTCTGTTGCTCTGGCTGGAGTGCAGTGGTGCGATCTCAGCTCACTGCAACCTCCACCTCCCAGGTTCAAGCAATTCTCGTGCCTCTGCCTCCCGAGTAGCTAGAATTACAGATGTGCACCACCATGCCCGGCCTTTATCGCTGATTTTTAAAATGAGATTATTTCAAGAGTTAACAGTCATGTGTATAAAGTGACTGGAATTTGGCAGATACAGAATAACTGGTTGCTAGTACTGCAGTCATACTATTCCTTACCAAGGAATAGTTTTAAATGTCTGTTATGATTATCTTGTGCATAATTTCTCTACACATATCAAATGTCATCTGATTTTCAATTTGCCTTTATCCTTCTACTAAAAATATGGAAGCTTTCCTTTTCTAAAAAGACGAATTATACTTAGGTTCAATGTTTTTTTTCCTCACTAAAATGAACACTACCAGTAAATAACAAGATATAAACAAGAAACTCCACTCAGATTGGGCTAAAGGAAATTGCATGCTTTCCACACAGTAATCCACAGCAAAGTTCCCGGAAAGAAAAATCACCTTGTTACTAAGTAGCACTTCCCTACCACAAAAATATTCCTGTCATTTGACGGGAATTTCATGCTTAAGAATTCAAGCCTATGAAAATATTCCAGCATACAGAAAAGCTTGAAACACAAAGATGTTCATCAAGCATTATGTATTATTGAATAAAAATTACAAACATTACATGTTCACTATTACATTATCATAGTATCATAGACTATTATAATGTATGTAATAGAACTTCTATGGCTGTTTAGACTGATGCTTTCCAGTGAAAAAAATATGTCCAGACATGTGCATCATATAGTCGGCATATACAACTGTGTAAACATAATGAAAGGCATGGGAAGGCCAGAAACAGTGGCTCACACCTGTAATCCCAGCACTTTGGGAGACCAAGGCTAGTGAATCACTTGAGGTTAGGAGTTCAAGACTAGCCTGGCCAACATGATGAAACCCCATCTTTACTAAATATACAAAAATTAGCTGGGCATGGTAATGCATGCCTGTAATCCCAGCTACTCTGGAGGCTGAAGCAGGAGAATTACTTGAATCCACGAAGCAGAGGTTGTAGTGAGCCAAGAT